GACGCCAATTAGTATTTTAACACGTCTTAAAACACTCCTCGTTATTGGTCATTATTCTCGAAAATGCTCCATCTCCAAAACTCGAAACGAAGATCTCTGCTCTTGATCGAAAATTCTTCGAAAGTTCTAGTGTCGTCTCTCGTAGTGAATACATCTTGCCTTGTTTAGAATAAATATCACTGTTTAGAATAAATAAGCTTGTAAGCGGACAGTTGTCGATTCACTTTGATTTTCAACGTTTACGTGATTTCGGCTCGTAACAGCACGCGAAATTAATTGTGCTTCCGCAAATGTGCATTCCGCAAATGTGATAAGGAAAGAGAGAGAAAGAGAAAAAGAGAGGGAAAGAGAGATTCAGAAGAGCGACAGCAGAGCAATTGTAGGGTAAGTAACTTATGTATATATTGTTTCTCACTTGCGAAATAAATTTTCCCCTTTAATTTTGAATTCAGATAATTTAGATAAGAGTTAAATAAAAGCACGAAATTACGAAATTTTGCAATTTAGCAATTTGCTCGTTCGCGGTACAAGTTTCCAAATTGCTATGTCCAAATCATCCTCGCTCGACCGCTTTGTCCGCGGAATCGAAAGGAATACTTATGAACGTAATGCGAAATAATTCCGGCGCGCCATCCGACGAACTGTGCGCGACGACCGCGGAGCATAATTCCGACGTGAAATGAAGATTTCAAACGGAATCTGCTTACGTTGCGGCATCGTCGGAGATAAAAGTCCTCCTCGACTCTTTCAAATCCCGGGATGCGCCTTGCGGCGCGCGCGCGCAAGCCGGATGGGGAGGAGAGAAACGACAAGCGGATCTAATTTCCATTCGGGCAGACAAAGCGGGAACGCGTCTCGCAAGCGGTAACAGGAAAAAAGCGGTAAGACTGCATCTCTTCGAGAGAAGGAAGCTCTTCGTGTCGTCGTTCTCGTCGTCGTCGTCGTCGTCGTCGTCGTCGAGAACTCAGACTGATACGCTCCTTTTTCTCTTTGTCGTCGCAGTGGCTGGACGTGCTACAAAGAGGCGTTTTATTGCAATTCGAGAATACCGTAAATAAAGAACGGCGCCGTTTCTCGAGCCACTGAACCGATACCGAGACTCTCCACTCTCTCTGTCGAAATCAACCACTCCGTCGTCGATGATATCGTACTTGCGGTGTTCTCCATTGTTACGCAACGATAACCGAACCGGAGAATCTGTCTACTAGACGAATCGTGAGACGCGATACCGTAAATCATCCAATTTTTCAGCTTGAACAATTCAATATTTTCACATTTTTTGCCTTTTTACTTAGTCGCAATTTAATCTGTGAAAATGATCAGATTGATCGTTGAATTGACAGTCCATAAATATAACATATACGGTCGATCCGATGAAAACAATAATTCGTTCTTAAACTGCGATTACGTTGGTTTTATCCCGTAACTCGACTTTCGCGCGAGAACGTGAACATATTCCCCACGTCTCCCGTCGGCTAAAAGAAAAACTCGAGTTCGCGCGGTAACATTAATTTATCTTCGTATAAAAGATAATGTCCCCCTCCCCCGCTGAATTTCGCAAAGGATTGTAACGCGCCACCGCCGTTTCCTCTCCTTTCCCTTTATGGACAACGCCGATGGACACGCAAAACCTCCCGTCCCGGCCCGAGAGCACCTCGAGAACTGTGTAAAAAACGAGACAATGTTGAACCGCGTTGATTAATGCCGCGCTCCTCGCGAGATGACGCGTCCGCTTCCCCCCTTCCCACCCCACTCGAAGTTTCTTTGCGATTTCTTCTTTACACGCTCGCACACACGCGCGCGCCGTAGGACGCGTTCTCCTCGGGAAGGATGAAGGAGTTTCCTCCTGAAAATCGCGCCGGACCCAACCGCGCAAAAATGCGGTCGCGGCTCTGATTAATGTCCGACGCGCGTAAAATATATCGCCCGCCGCATCGCCGGGCGCCGGGCAAGCACGCGAGAAATAAAGAAGAGAAAACGCTTCCGCGCGACTTTAAGCTAACGGACTTCGTACAAAGGACGATAATTACGAAGTACAATAAGGGAGAAATATCGGCTTTCGCGGGTCTTTTTGCCGAGGAAATATCGTCTCCGGAGTTTCTGGCGCTGTTACAACGTCCTCCATAATGAATTTAAGGTATCGTACTTCTTATTAATTTATACACGGATATAAATTTTTACGAGAAGCAAAATAGGTATCGCGTACGTGGAAAGAACCGAAAGAATTTTGCTAAAATGTCTAAAATTTAGCTGCATATACAAGACCACATGAAAATAATTTTGTTGGACCGTCCAAATAATTATATTGAAAGTTCGCATGGTGAATAATGCTGCAAATTTTGATAGTTTAGCAACTCACTTTGAGTTTCCAACATAATTATTTTACAATTAATTACAATTTGTTTTACAAATTATTTTACAAATTATTTCTAACAAAATTTTCAAATCTGTATCTAATTAAATTTTAGATGTTTAATATTAGATGTTTAATATTTTAGCAACCACTTTGAGTTTCCAATATAATTATTATAACGGGTCAAAACAAAATTACTTTCAAATCTGTATCAAATTAAATTTTAGATGTTTCAGCAAAATCGTTTTTTCCATATACAAAATATTTATTTAAAATTATTAAAATCTAGCTAATATTTGTTGAAAACTAGCATTCTATACGATCTTTAAACATATATTTTTAGTATTACGGATTTTCTGCCGAAAACATATACATTCCTATCTGTCAGAATTATATCTCTGTTTTGGGATCTTTAATATTTCAAATACATGTATATAATATCGCGCGTATTATTATATGTAATCGCAGTGGATAGTAATTTTCGCGACAGACCGTTCGAGAGTAATAATGAGCATGATCCAGATCGGCCAATCGTCGAGTCTGGCGAGAGGCCGAAAGATCGCGATGGGTCAAGGGGTAATAATGCAATCTCTCGTGCACTTGGTAATTGCACCGGTTATTCGCGCCGGCCACAATACCGAAAACGGTTTCCACCGCGTTATTACGTGATTCGGCCGATGCCTTGCCTCGTAATTGCGAGTTACGCTCGTTCTCGTAATCGCCAGGTACATGGCACGATGCAGAATGAAAACGATCCGCGTTGCAAATCAGCAGTTGCATTATTACGCATGGATATGCCGGGCTTATCAAGATCTCGAATTGCAGTTTCATTGGCGGACGCGACGACTTCTCTCAATAAAGAGTGTCTTGTATTCTCCCTCCTTCCTTCCCGCGACGTTGGAAATCACTTTAAAATCTGGGACTTAGAAAAAATTAACAAAGTATTTAAACAATTCCGTCAATCGACCAACGTGATTGGCGGTCAAATCTTTCTCCGGACACAAAGCTTAACCAGGATTTAATTTTCAAGATTAAATTTTTAATTCGATTTTGATTCGATCCACGTCACGATCCGATACTTAATTGTCTTCTACCGCAACGAGAGAGTACAACTCTTAATGTTCGCCACTATCGCGTGCTTTCGAGTGTCCCAACTTTTCCCGCTATGTATAGCCTCAATAGTCGGTGGAAACTTGCCGCAACCTGTCGCCGCAATATTGCACAAGAGGACACGCCGTAAAATACCGATGCGACATGCGGTCGGGTTTATTGCACGCGACATGTATTCGCTCTATTAACGAATAATCGGGTCGCGACGACTTTAATTCACGAACCGTTCGCACGGTGACAGTTTATCAGTTGCGTTCCACCGGCCGATAGTGGGCTCCTGGTTTTACGGAGAGCAAAAACCTGTTTCTTCGGCTGCGACATTTAAACCGCGACGACGACAGGACTATACTCGCGAACGAAAAACAAAGTAGATACCGCAGGATACTGTAACTATCGCGTGAGGGTGCCTCGGCTCTACCGGTTCGTCAACGTTCTTGCTACGCGGTCGTCTTATCGCTATATTAATTGGATTAAAGTAGCGTGTAAGAACGCGGCAAGAATGTCGATTGAATTCTCTCGTCGCTGACGACGTGAATTTCCGCCACGGAAAACTATAATTAGCCGATCAAATTTTTAAGAAAGTTGCAAATGAGACGGCGAATGCGAAACTTGATCGATAAATTTTTCGAATTAACGAATAGATGGATGAAATAGCTTTTTCATGATGGAATTTTATAGAGAGATACCGTGTTAATTATTTTACATTATTCGGAAATTATTTTCTCCTAGATGAGAAACTTGATGCGATTTTAAAACTTGGAGACAATAGAATAATCAATTAAGGTAAATCAAATGATAATTTTAATCGGACGACTTGTCGAACTATTTTACATAGCATCAACTTTGAATGACAACGCGTTAAAGCGCAGTTCACGGTGTTCGTTCGTCGACAAAAAAGAGAAGTTTTATTAGTCGGCGATAACATTCATTACTGCGATGAAATATATGCGGGTGCCATTGTGCCATAAAAACTGTGCAAACCTGCCGTTAAGTCGGACGCTTTTACAATAATTACGATTACCGTTTTCGTAAAAATACGAATAATTTCCCTCGTTAAATATCAATAAGCATTTAATATTTGTCTCTGTACATCGTGTACTGGGTTTTTTAAATAAAATAATATTGTCTTGTGTTATGTTTCTTTTTGAAAAACGTTTTTAAAAATTTTATGAGTAATTCAATTTTCAGTGGAAACGTAAAGATAATCTTCATAAAAATAAAACTTTCGTCTAATTTATTTTAAAATATCTGACTTTTAGACATACTTTTATTCATAAAAGTATTATTGATTGTAAAGGTTTCACGATTAAAAATAAGAACTTACAGAAATATCTAAAAGTGAGATATTTTAAAATAAATTAAACGAAAGTTTTATTTTTATGAAGAGTATTTTTACGTTTCCACTTTCCTATATTATGTTTGATATATCAAAGGATGCAATCCGTCTTCATATGAAGGATACGTTTACAGACTAATTCAAAAGATAAACTGTGAAAAGTGATATTTCCGAGAGAAATACTGTTTTCTATTTCCGCAGTAGAGAAGGATAATGGAAAGACGAGTACACACGCAAGTGCAGGGAGTGAAACGGATCGAAAGGGAAAGAAAGGAAGGGATAGAGGAAAGCACTCTCCGCGACTCGTCAGTAAAAGTCTCGCAGGTGTCGAAAGCAGTACCTACACTCCGTCCGTCGCAAAAATACATTTTTCGAAAACAAATAACGCGATTTTTCAATCGATTCGTGTCGAATATCGCGTTGTTAGTTTCATTCTCGAGAGCATTCAAGTAAACTGCAATTAGCAAGTTTGTTCTGTTACCCGTATGTTATACGTTGTACACGTTATATGCAAAACATGTATAAAATGTATAGGTAAGTTTGAGAAAAATTGTCACTAAAATGAAAACCGCATGCGCTACATATTTATCAAATAATCAAATCGGAGTATCTATATGCTTTATTACGATTTTGTCTGTTTTATAATACTAATGTTCGTTATTTATTTTTCGTAATATATTGTTAATATATAAATAATATTAAAATGTGTGATATAAAATATATCACACGTTATAATAATATGATGTATATTATTTAATATACATGTACATATTAACAATCATATATAAAGAATAGAGGACATAAAGAGTATAAATTAATAAAGAAATTTTCGGAGCAATATCAATTATTTCATATCGTATAACGAATTATGTATAACAAATTATTAATGTAATATGTGGCATTATAACGTATTATAATGTATTATAATAACTAATGAATCGTTAATGCGATAATGCGGTGCATGATGATGCATAGATAATTTGGTGAAAATTTAATGAAATAATCGAGCATTAGCTGGAAGGAACGTCCGCGCGGAGTAGCTCGAGGTGAAAAAAAAAGGTAAACATTAGGGCGAGCGTCGCGCCGAGCAGAGTGTTTTTGTGGCGTTCTTGGAAATCCGAAGCGCAGCGGAGCAAGCATTGAGGGAGGGGGGATGGGGGGGGGTAAGAAGGCTCGACGATACGCGGCTCAATAGCTTATAGCCGTGTCAGTCATCGACCGTCACCTCCCGTCGCGGTTGCCACGATATTAGCACGTAAGTCTCGTAACTGACTCGCAAGTCATTTCGCGCTACGCGGACCAACGCGGACTCGGTTTAATTCCTTTAACGAGACGTCGCGCGGCTGAGTTCTCGCGTGCGTCGTAATCCGCCGGAAAAGCGACGGAGACACCACGATCGGGAACACAATCTCGGGCTTGTGCTACCAAGTGCAGGAGAATCGCCGTCGCATCGCGTGGTTTCGCATCGTCCACTTGCGGTAAATACTTGCGGTGCGTCGTCCGGATCGTTCCGAAACTTTATCCGCATATTTCTTGCAGCACGTAGAAGTGGAATTTGTTTAAAAGAAAAACATTACTGTCGCGCAGCCTTTTTCTCGTTTTCGTAATCGCGCGCTTGTAATACGCGTCGTTTTTGCACTTACGAAAGATTTGGTAAATTATCAGTCGATCGCAAGAAGATATCCGTACCGCATCATTTATGCAATTACTTAAAAACTCGCAGTTGAATTGTCGCTTACGCGCGACCCGTCACGTGACCGGAGTGGTGGGGGGGCGCTCGGGCGTCACGTGATGCGCGTCGCGGGCAACTTCAGTTCGCTCGCGCCGCTCACTCGTCTCGCGGTCTAGTCGCGGTGGCCGCGCATATTTCCGCGTGTCGTTCGCACCTCGGCGGCGAGTTTTGCGCGCGGAGTATCGGGAGTGCCGAATCGCTTGACGATCGTGTGGGTGAGGTCAAGAGCGACGCAGCTCGGGCGTGATTTTCGGACTTCGTGTTTGGTCGTCGGCGTCGCGTTGCGCGAACCGGCGTGGCGGCGCCGCGCCGGTGAGATCCGCGGGACGAAGAATTCTGCGTCGTTTACAATTCGGCGGCGAATCTTGCGAGCATCGGGACTGTCGGCGAGTGTCGAATCGAGTGACGATCGCGTGGGTTAAGCCGGACCGAGCGACGCTGGACTCGATTTCGTGATTTTTGGACTTCGTATTTTGGCCATCGCGTCGCGTCGCGTCGCGTCGAATCGCGGCGGCGCCCGGCAGATCCGCGGGACGAAAAATGTAGTTCGTACTACATCTCGCTGTGTTCACGTTGTTCACGCGACGGGCGTTCGCAGGTGCGATCGCGAGCAACGGGATGGCACCGCTGAAGGAGGACGCGTCGAAAATCGCGTCTAATGGGCAAACATCTCCGCTCGTTCGCGCAACTCCATTAGGTGTCTCGCGTCCGCCATTTTAAGGACATCGCGTTTTCGAATTTTCCGCAGGCGTAAAGTGTCGCGCGCGCAACCCGACGCTTTCCCATCGCGAATCCAGCGCGGGATGAGACGAGATCCCAGACGAGCGTCTCGCTTCGTTTGCCTCCCGAGTTGAAATTACGTGACGCCCGGGAGTGCCGTACGGAGTAACGAGTGAGATCGTCGTGACGGATTACTCTTGGTGTGCTTGCGGTGATCGCAATCAGTCGCGTGTGCATGCGGATGCAGGCTGTCTGGAGTGATCAGAGGGAGCAGCCTGCAGCGGACACCGGGAGGATCGTCGCATCGCAGGAAGGAACGAGCGTTTGACGTATGTAACACACATTATATATTTATATTTATTATATTTGACGCTGAATTCATTTGTGGCTCGTAAACGAGTAACGACGGGAACGCCGACGCGACGCGGAGCTTGACGCGAAGTAATTTAATCATTCAATGCAGAAATAACAATATATGCATCAGCAATTATTAATTTAAAAAATAAGTTTATGTTGTAATGTGAGCACATTTATTCCGTGAAAATTATTTTGTGCAAAATTTTTTCATTTAAAAATTGGGAGAAGGAAATAAAAAATTTTTTTTGAAAAATATTGCTTGAACGAAATTATTATCAGTATTATCACTATTATTATTATTATTATTTTTTATTATAGATAGTAACAAAATATTATTGTTAGACGAAGTATATATGTTTAGATGAAAAATACAAGCTCTGATATCAAATTAGACGAAGTTAAATCGTCTGGCAAAGTCTCGTTAGAAAGCTTTAGCAAATTATTATCACCAGTATTATCACTATTATTATTATTTTTTTTATTATTATATAGATAGTAATAAAATATTATTGTTAGACGAAGTATATATGCTTAGATGAAATATAAGCTCTGATATCAAATTAGACGAAGTTAAATCGTCCGGCAAAGTCTCGTTAGAAAGCTTTAGCGTGCCTTAAACGTCTTGGAGCACATTGAAGATTATATCGCGCGTCTGCGCGATGTTTAATAAATATATTAAATATACATACCCCCGCGAGGAGAGATACGAGCGGCGGCGCGAAATTTATATGCGTCGGTGATCCGTAATCAATTTTCTGCAGAACTTAATCAAGGCCCCGCGTCGCGCCGGCGTTCCCGGCGGCCCGCGACCGCGCGCGATGTTGGTTGCTCGCTTAAAACGAGAATTTCTGCGATCGCGCGATAAGAAGGATTGGACTTCTTGTCGCCGCCGCGCGCGTTATTTTTCATCACGCGCGATCGTTGCATTACGCGTCATTATTTAAAGCGGCCGGTCATATTGTGCACGTCGGTGTGGTTCAGTGCACTCCGCCCGGATGATAAGCGAGCACGAGCGCGCACGGGCGTGCGTTATCAGGACGCGATTTCGCTGATCGGCATTTGTCAGGCGTGTGCGAGCAGCGGCGTGGCATTTCCCGCTTCTCTGCGGGATTTAAAAATTCAAGAACCAGTTGCAGCGGTAACAGCTAGAAACTTTGATTTTTTTGTAATTTTTTTTAATTGCTCGTATTACGTTGCATTTCGCGTTAGTCAATTATGTAAGAGTATAACACATATCAAAAGTAAATAAGACTCGAGATTACTCGGGAGAGGGAGAAACTGCGCATCGTTTTCTTTCCCGACAGCGAATCCTCTTTATCGTATAATTTATGTAACCTTTATTAGAATTAAGAACGCGAATTCCGCAGGGATTTGTCGCGGCTGGTAGCCTCGTCGTTGTCTGGCTCGGGGACACGTCGAAAGTTTTCGAAAATATCGCGTATATTTGGGCACAACTGCAATTACTTGGACGATTTTACGACGGCAATAACACGGATTACGGTACGCTATTGATCGCTCGCGTGATCAAGACAACTCTTTCAACACGCGCGGCGCATTCTCGCGGGAGAGGAGCTCCCTCGCCTGAATCTCGCGGCGAGATTGCCGCAAATGCCGCAATTAGCTCGACGTACGCGACGGCTCCCGACCATAAGATCGCAGACAAACGTTCGCATATTTTTTTTTTGTCAAACAGAGCGCTCCCTCGGTATCGTTATTACGGCAAAATAATTATGCCGGTGATAATGACGTGAAACGCGCGGCAGCGCGCACCGCAGTGCAGCTGGATTTACGCGAGTTTATATACGCATCGAATTTACACCCGCACGTTCGCGGATTTCATGGCCTCATATATCGATGAACCACCGACACGAATCGGACACGAGTTGACGCTCAAAACGTGTTAAAATACCGTAACGATATAAACTGCAACGGTGTTTCTCTCGTGTCATTTGCGCGCCGGGGAAAACGGAAGCGAGCCGAAATAGCGTGTAGCTGTCACGGTAAACCGCGTGAAAAATCGATACTCGCAACCCGAGTTTACTCTTGCAGATAATCAGAGAAACGCCGCTGGATATATGATGCGCGTACATTGTATGATTGTATAACGAAACAAATCGGTGCGTTATGAAATTTCGTGGAAAATGTAATCCGAAATGTCGGATTTTAGAGCCGATATGTAAAGCATTATTATCTTTGGTTTAGCGCTCCAAGGTACGCATTTTCGCATTGCGTGTGTTGTTACTGCCGTGTCGTAAATTCGCGCAAATAATTACCGCTGCCAAGTGCAATTTTCGGAACTATGAAGGTTCGATATATCAAAACTGTTTGGATAATAAAATCTGGAATCTTTAATGAGAGGGGATTCGTCGAGAAATCCGGGAAGGAGCGGATTTTCCTATTTTATTAGAATTATAACTTCGAGGAAGATCGCTGTTTATCTCATGCAGTCTTAATACGTTTTATGTACGTGTATAACAAAGTGGAAGCGAGTCAAGTTTATAATTCACAAAACTCGCTTTATACACAAGATTTTGCATTCGAGACGATTTTCATTCCTTAAGTATGAAAATATATTTACAGAGTTTATAAATCGAGAATCCGCCGCTCACTCCTTACATTATTCATCTAATTTACGGCGCGGCGTTATATCCGCTCTTATCCTCACAATGTGCTTTTTGCGTGTTCCAATTTATCTTTTTACGTTTGCCGAGTTCCTATATATTCTCTCGCAACTCATTCGCACGTGTAACACGTGTTCCGAGCGAGTTCACGCGCCGCGAATTAAGGGTTAAAGCCGTAATATCGAAGAGCCTCAGTCCCATCATTCTCACCTCGTGTATTTTTAGCGCGGCATACATACGCGATCGCGAAAAGGTATTGCACCCACGGGGGGAGGGGGGGAAAGAGACGGGAACGCGCGCGGGAGAGAGGAGGAGAAAGAAAGAGACGCGGCGCCTCTTCCTCTCACGCGCGCGGATCTCTCTTTCTCTCTTTCACTCGCTGATCGTTCGCTTGCTCTTTTTATTTATGGACTTGATATTTCGTATTTAACCCCTTAGCGCCGCGCGCACTTTCGAGAGCTCTCCGCGTGTCTCGATCGATCAAGATTAAAGCCACACCAATCGCGAACTTTAATTTACAAACACGCGCACCCGAAATTCTGTTACTTTCGTCACCGTTTCGCAAAACGTACGTCCTGCTGCGCTCGCGCGCGCGTCTCTCGTTCGCCTCATTCGCCCCGAATGCAAGTAAGAACTTATGTAAGTGCACTCTCGAGGACTTAATCTGCTTTTAGGCGCCGTGGCGAAAACCAAGGTCCGCTGTTACGGCGCTTACTTTGTCACGCGAGTTTCGCCATTCTCGCACTTCGAGTATTCAATCCCCTCCCCCCTCTCTCTCTCTCTCTCTCTCTCTCTCTTTCTGTTAATCACTTCGTTGTGTATTCGGGTCCTCTTTCGTGTACACGTTTAACGATGTAATTTATGTGACGCTACTAACATGTACAAGCCGTGTAATTTACGGCGTTACGCGGACGTATTTTGTAACTGACAACGGATCGTAAACGTTACATTTTAGATATATACATATAAATCACAATTGATATCGTACTTTTCAAGAGATTTTAAAGGTTTTGCGCAGATACCTTTTATAGCGATCTCCTTCATATCAGGACGTAAAGCGATAATTCACATAAATTCTGATATTTTTTGTCTAACTAGCGATAAAACACTCGCACGTTTGAAACTCTGAATCTATAGCTATTCCTAATTTCTATTCCTTCTATCAAAAAGTCATTAAACGCGAAGATTCACGATTTGCCTCTTTAGATATAAAGCTTACCTATCGATCAAATAATTCATCTGAGATATCCCGCGGCGGATAAGCGATAGAGCTGGTAGCTGATACATTGATAGGTATTGACCAGACCTGATCTAGTCTCGCATTCCTCGGTATTGGCCGGCGGCATTAATCAAGGCATATAATACCACGATTGACCTTATTCAGCGGAGAGACACCGGTCGGCGTTGGCGCCAGTGATCTTACGACGTGCGAAACTTCGATGTGTCCTCGATAGGTGCCATGCGTTCGCCAATTCGCGGGTGCCTATACGTGGCTCTCCTTGTCGCCGCCGCGACCTAGAAGTGAAAGTATCCTTATCGAGATATACGCCCATCTCTCGTCTGTCGCCTGTCGCAGGCGCAGGTGCCTAGGCGTTATAGAATTTTCAATTTTTTTTTATTTTCACAGAGATCGTTACACAAAGAGAGAAAGAGAGAAATGTTTGAAACGTTAATCGAATTCCACATGTATACTTCGTATCTCAAAATCAGTTGTAGGGATGGCACCGTCGAACGCGCTCCACTTTCACCGCTGTTAAACGCTGCAAAACGCGATTTTTGTCACTAACGTGCAATTTACGGTAGTATAGATAGCAGAGTATCGCGAGGCGGACGATAATTACGGTCTTGTGAGATGATTTAGATATTAGATACTGGACTTATTGATAGCCTTGACGATTGCGAAAATATATGTCTTTCACCGAGTGATACGGGCGACTTGTAATACCCGGCTCTCGATAATAAACCTCAGAAATGACCGTTGTAGATCGATTTCAGCACCGCGGCGCTTGTTAATTGGCGACGATAAAACGCGAGTCTCCGCCGCGCCGCGAGGCACTAATGTCTCGTATACGCTGTTGATTTAACCCCCTTCCTCCCCCCTTCCCCCGCATCCGTCCCAAACACGGTCACGATAGCGCGCAATTAGCGTCAGCGTAATAGCGGCGTTCATTAACATTAACGATCGTATGGTAATACGAGCAGAGAAGTAATCGCGCATTGTTCGCCCGACCGGTGATAACGGAGTAGGCAGCAGACTCCGTAGAGGAGGCAATCGCCATCGCGACGTCCCACACGAATCCCCAATTAGATCCGCCTAGGAACTGCTAAACTGCGGAAAAGTCAGCATTGTC